GGAGCAAGGTAAGGAAGCAGGCTGTGGTGGTGAAGAGTCCACAGCCTCAAGGGTCCTGCAAGCTACTTGGTAAGGAGTTGGGGGTGCAGAGCCCAAAGGCTCCAGTTAAGCCCCTGGCTTTGTTCCTCTCTGGGAACCCTGCTCTGCGGGCTACTTGTGAGTTCCAGGGGTGGCCAACACCCTGTCTCTAGGGCAGGAGTTTTCTCTGCGGCTCCTTGTTAATCCCTTCAGGGGTCTTATCTGAACCTCTTTTCGGCTCCCAGAACACCCCTTAAGCCAACTTGCAGGGGGGACTACAAATGAAGTCAGGCCAAGGGAAGACCCCCAGGCTGGAGGGCAGGGGCTGGGAAGGGGAGGCCCTTGAAGACAGAAAGCAGAAAAATCCTCTGGGCTCAGAAGTGTCTCTTGAGGAGCTGCCTTCCCCATAGGGGCCTGGATCTCAGAAGTGGTCCTTGTCTTCTCCAAGCAAATTCTGATTCTCAATGAAGATATATTTGTTGAATGTCCACTGGGAATCAGATATTGCTAAAGGAGTTTCCACTTCTATTTAATTCTCAAAGTTACCCTGGAGTTAAAGATTACTGTCCCCATTTCACAGAGGAGGAAACTGAGGCTCAGAGAGCTAATGTAATTACCTCCAATCACAAAGTGAGTAAGAGCTGAACCCAGGTCTATCTGACTCCAAATCCAAGGTTCTGCCCCAAGCAGCCCACCAAAGTGGCCCCATGCCTTCTGTTCATGATAGCACATATTTGTAATTTTGGTGGGCTAGTTAATACTTGTCTGCTTTCCTTCTGGGAGATTAGCAAGGTTGGGGTCTCTTTCAGGGGTCTAGGAAATACAGGCTCTCCAGTGAGAAGGGAAAAAGGAAGACAGTCAAGTTACTTTCAATTCTGCCTTTCCCTCTTGTTCTTTTGAGCTTGAAAGCAATTGTGCTTTGTTGACTTAACAGAACTCTGCTCCAAACCCTTTTGTTCAATAAACATTTAGAGATCTTGGAGGCATTTTTAAGGGTAAACCTGGAAATGACTTTTCCAATCCAAGAAACCCTTTGTGGGTTAACTGGGCTCCGGTCCCACATCTGCCACTGCCCCACTACTTGGCCTTTGACTAAATATTTGACCTCGGATCAAAGCTACCTGGGATTCAGGAAGGGACTGAGAATAAGATTATCAAAGCATAACCTGAGAAAGGGAAGCTTGTCAGAAACCCATGGAACAGATAGAAAGCGATAACCAAAGGGGACATTACCTGGACAAAATTATACATCTCAGTGGCATAGATCAGAAATAAAAAAATAAACCCAACCACACACAAAAATTTACCAAATGATAACATTTCTCAAACAATGTATACAGAGGCTTACTTAATAAACGATGCTAGCATAGCTGGATAGGAATCAGATGCAGATGGAGTGCAGGGTTATATGATTTTTTTAATCAGAAAAAGTAGTAGGAAATAGAAGGGCATGCTTATGAGATCTGGGGAGGGATGAAAACTATCTCAGATCTAAGGCAACAGAAGGAATAATGAAGGAGAAGCTCTACAGATTCCACAGAAAATAAGACTTTTTTTCTTTAAAAAATTTCTTTTTTCGGTGGCTCAAGCCTGTAATCCCAGCACTTTGGGAGGCCGAGGCGGGTGGATCACGAGGTCAAGAGATCGAGACTATCCTGGTCAACATGGTGAAACCCCGTCTCTACTAAAAATACAAAAAATTAGCTGGGCATGGTGGCGCGTGCCTGTAATCCCAGCGAGTCAGGAGGCTGGGGTAGGAGAATTGCCTGAACCCGGGAGGCGGAGGTTGCGGTGAGCCGAGATCGCGCCATTGCACTCCAGCCTGGGTAACAAGAGCGAAACTCTGTCTCAAAAAAAAAAAAATTTCTTTTTTAACTTTTAAGAAATAGATATGGGGTCTCACTATGTTGCCTAGGCTGGTCTTGAACTCCTGAGCTCAAGTGATCTGCCCACCTTGGCTTCCCAAAGTGTTGGGATTACAGGTGTGAGCACCTGGTCAGAAAAATAAGACATCTTTACCATGATATTATACTATAACAACAGACTAATATTTATGATTTTTCTTTTTTTGAGACAGTTTTTTCACTCTTGTCGCCCAGGCTGGAGTGCAACGGTCTGATCTAGGCTCACCGCAACGTCCGCCTCCCAGGATCATGTGATTCTCCTGCCTCAGCCTCCCGAATAGCTGGGATTACAGGCATGCGCCACCACGCCTAGCTAACTTTGTATTTTTAGTAGAGATGGGGTTTCCCCATGTTGGTCAGGCTGGTCTCGAACTCCCAACCTCAAGTGATCCACCTGCCTCGGTCTCCCAAAGTGCTGGGATTACAGGAGTGAGCCATCACACCTGGCGGTAAATTTTAGATCTATTGAAATATTTAGGAAAACCATCAAGATCCCCAAAATATGAAAAGACAATTCCCTCAAGAAGTCCGAATAGGAAATGAACACATGGAACATAGTGGGTTGAACTGATGACCTTCAGGTCTCCCGCCTGTTTTAACTTCTGGGATCCATGGGGAAGAAGTAGGGGGAGTGAGGAGGCGTGGCATAGACTGGCCCCACTACACCCCTGCTTGAGCAAGCCAAATGCCAGAATGCCAGGGAGAGGGATGTGGAAGCTTCCATGGGACTGGGGTCACCTGCTTTCTTCACCTCCAATTCCCACAAAAGGCATCCTGGCCATTTAGTTTAAGGGTGACCACATAGAACCAGCAAGACCAACGTCATGGCTTCTAGCCCTTGGGGTCCAGTTGGCATCATGCTAGATCAAGTCTACTCCACATGCTGAAGAACCAGACAGTATGGAGGGACTGGTCCAATCTATCCCTAACTGCTGGAAAACAGATCCTAGCAGATGCCAGTTTGAAACTGGGTGACCACTGGTGTCTGACTGACCCAAGAAGGAAGGGAGGAGATGCCTGACTGGTTCCAGCCTCCGATGCCATTGATTTCTGGAAGGTGAACTCCAGAGCCACATGTGCTCACAGGGACTCTGATGGGTGTCATGTCCCATTCATGACTGCAGTTTGACCTATCAGGGTTGTTTACTTTTTTTTTTTTTTTCCCTGAGACAGGGTCTCACTTTTTGGGAGGCCATCCTCCTGTCTCAGCCTCCCAAAATGCTGGGATTACAGGCATTAGCCACTGTGCCTGGCCTAATTTCTTTCCTAGAATGAATTTTCCTTGTCCGGAATGATTTCTAGGCTGGCCTCCCAGAAGCAGGAGTATGCTCTCTGTGACACCCAGGATCTACCTTCAGTTGAAAAAATTGGATTTCATAGACCAGTAGCTAATATTAGGTGCTACACATTCTTTCTGCTCCCTTGAGTTCCAAATTCTTCCTACTAAAAGCTCTCCTTCTTTCACCCAAATGGTTTGTTTCAAAATGTACACATACACACAGGGACTGGCAAAGGAAATTAATCAAATGAGAAAGATAGACACAGACAGAGAAAAAAAAGAATGATACACTTTGTTCTAGGTTCTGATTCTAAATCTGGCAGGAGGTGTGAAGGGCTGGCAGCTTGGTGATCGTGGTGGCAGTGGCGCAGCGGGCTCCCTCCTGCCTCGGGGCGTCAGGCCAGCAGCTGCTGTACTCTTAGGAGCTAGAGGGAGAGATGCTCTACCCGTCAGGACAGGAGCTGGTGCATGCTTTGAACTTCAAACCACAGCCAGGCCTCGTGGTTGATATGGATCCTAACCCCAAATCCACGCCCCAGGCCTTTCACACTGCAATTCCCAGTCTCCACTCCCACTGGGGCATCTGGAACCGGCTGGCTCCTCTGAGTGAACTTGTCTCAAACCAAAGTTGTCATTCTTGCCAACCTCTCTCCCACTTCAACTTGGTTTTGTTTGTTTTGAGACAGGGTCCCACTCTGTCACCAGAGTTGGAGTGCAGTAGCACAGTCGTGGCTCACTGCAGCCTCTACTTCCTGGGCTCAAGCAATCCTCCTGCCTCAGTCTTCCACGTGGCTGGAACCACAGGAGTGTACTGCCACGCCTGGCTAGTTTTTTTATTTTTTGTAGAGATGAGGTCTCACTTTGTTGCCCAGGCTGGTCTTGAACTACTGGGCTGAAGTGATCGAAGTGATCCTCCCACCTCAGCCTCCCAAAATATGGGGGGTTCAGTGAGTCACTGAACCCGGCCCCACTCCGACTTTTTCTTTTCCTCCTAGGTTCAGAAACTCGAAGTTACATATGTGGGAACCCTCATCTATGTAGGACTATTAAGATCTTCCAATTCTTCCATCACCACGTCCCTCTTCCTGTCCATCCTCACTGTCACCTTCTTGCCTCTGTTCAGCGCTGCAGCTCCTCCCCCCCTCATCCCTGCCACCCACTCACCCCTCACCCCTAAGACAATGGAGCTTTCCAAAGCCTGGCTTGGATCACGTAAAAACTCTGCTAAAAAACTTTCTAAGGCTTCCCCTGCCTACAGTGAAGACCTGGTTGGAGCTAACTTTCAGCTTTATCTCCTTCTCCAATCCAACACATTCCCTCTGGCCCACTCACACCAATTTCTTAAAGTTACACAAACTTCATGGTGCAATCAATCTCACCCAAAGGCCACAACACTCACTATCCCCCAACAACGGGCAAACAGGGAGAAGAAAGCACACAACAGCACCCACTTTGAATGCTAAGCAAAGAGGAGAGAGCCAGTTCCTTGCTGAAGGTCAAACATCCATCTCCAGATCCAAAAGCCAATACTTGGCACCCCCAACTCCACTCCCTACACCTAGACTCCAGGCATTGCAAAGAATCACATACAATTTCCCCTCTGGAACCTCCCAGCACTCCCCCATCCCTATGACAGAATTAAAGAAATCGAATCAGGCTTCAAAAGGGTCCATATTGTGTCAGCTCCCAAGGATGGCAGGGATTTGACTTCAGTGGTGGTCATGGACTCTCGACAGTGGAGGTAGAAAGGGAGAGGGGTTGTCAGCCCATGCCCTTCCCCCACCTCTCCAGCCACCTACTGCAATCCTCAGGCACACGGAGGATTTCCCAGGTATTCAATGTATAACGTCCAATTTTATACGGTGTGAACCCGGCTCTGGTGCAGCAGAATAGGGAGGAGGCGGGAGGGAGATCCTCTCAGGGGAGCCCATCTCCTCCTCCTGATACCTGGAGAGCAGTGTCTTTCAGCCCCAGAGATGCACGAAGCCACACCCCCACCCCACGTCACCATCTCAGGAGCACAGAGCTAGGGAAACCCACGCAAGCAGGGAGACTGAGACCAATCTCAGGGAGGGCTGGAAGGAGTGGAGGGGTTAACTACTCACATACCTGATCAAACAGGACTTTCCAGTGCTGGCAGAGAGGGAGGCCATGCAGGAGAGGAGGAAGAGGAGAGAAAGAAAGACACACTTATCACCAAGGTCTCTGCAGTCTTCGAATGTTTCTGACATAGCCTCCCAGCGGCTGCCCAGGAGTCATGACCAAAATCAGGGACTGGCCACAGGAGAGCAGGGGAACCCTGGGAGGAGCTCCCCAATGAGTCCACACCGAACAGAGGGAGGAAACTCACAGTAAGGGATGGGGTGGGGGTGGGGGCGGAGGCAGCAAGGTGGGTGTTGCTGGTTCTGGAACTGGCAGAACAAGTGATTCTCAACAATTACTAAATAAAGCCGTCCAACTATGTCCAAGCGCCTCTAATAATTTCTGCTGCCTAAAGCTTATGTCCACAGCTACTCCCGGGCCTGGAAGAGCATGGCCCAGTGCAATTCCATCAGACCCTGCCGCAGTGGGTCTCACCTGCTGGGGGCCAGAGACCCCTACAGGAGAACTCACCTCTGCATAAACACTAACATTTTGCCTGCAGGTTTTCGGGGTTTTTTGCTTTTTGTTGGGGGCGGGTGCCGAGTGCACTGAAGCCCACCCATTCTCTTCCAGGGCTGAGTCTAAGTGGTGACTACATCAGATTCTACCAGGGCTGTTTAGGGCGAGAGGGAAGTGATAGATTTAACCGCAGACGCCAAAGAGAGAAGATCGTAAACTCCCCCCAGCCCCATTCAGACTTTCCCGCTTTGGTTGTGTGGGCTGGGGGCCTGGTTTCACTACCATCCCCCCCTCTTAAGGAGGGGTGGGCAGGGCAGGGTGTCTGCCTGGGTTTTCACCCCTATTTGTAGATTGGCCCCGGGAGGTTAACCCAATAAACTCCAGTTCCCAGGGCCGGCCCGCAGGACCGCGGGGAAGCCCTCAGGGAAGCCCCTCTCTCGCGCGCGCAGGGGACCGTCCCCTGGAACAACCGCGGTCTGGGACTCCCGGACCCCGTTCTGGGAGCAAAGCCGCTCCCAGCACTCTCCCTCCCAGCTCCAGCCGGGGTCAGAGACGCGGGCCGGCTTGAATTTCAATCAGTGACAAGGCAGGTGCGGGGCGGGAGCTAATCCTGGAGCGGAGGAGCGGGTCGCCAAACCGGCCTGCACCGCCAGGGATCTGGACTCTGCGGGGTCCGCTCCTTCCCCAGCTCCCGAGCCCGCAGGTCGCGGGCGTGAGGGGAGGGGGAGTCACTGCTGTGACGCGGCCGCCTCTGCGGGAAAACGCCGTGTCCCGGGCACTGCACCAGCGGCGGGGAGGGGGCTCCGGCGGCGACAGGTCCGCGGCGCAGCGGCGGGGCTGCGTCCCACAGGGAAGCCGCGGGAGCCCAAGCGGGGGAGGCAGTGAGCGCGCGTTTCGGGGGACCGGTCCCTCCGCCCCCTCCTGCCCGCCGGGACCCGGCCAATCCGGGGCGCTCCCGCGTCACCTTGAAACCTCCAAGTTGCCTGGCGGGGGGCAAGACGGGGGTGGCTTTCCCCCCGGGTTCCCCTAGAAAGTTTGCCGGGCGGGGAGGGGACACTCACGTCCTCCGGCGCCGCGGGCAGCTGCTCCTCGGCCTCAGGTTCCAGCTCCTCGATGCGCTCCGCCTCGGCGCAAGCGGCCACCGCGGGGCCCGGGCTGGGGTGTTCGCCCATGGCCGAGATGGGGTCTGGGGCCGGCGGCGGCTGCGAGGCTCGTCCCGGGGCGCTAGGCTAACTTTGCGCCGCGGCTGCCGCTCGGGGGTTCCGTGCGCGCCGCGCCGCCTCCGCGCCCGCCCCGCCGCCCGCGCCCGCCCCCGCCCCCGCCCCCATGGCCCGGGTCCCCGCGCCGCAGCCGCTTCCTCGCGACCCCGGGACGCCCGGCCCCTCCGCCGCCAAACTTCTCCGCGCTCGCAGCCCCGCTGGCCTCCGCCTCCGCCCCGGCCCCCGCGCTGGGCTCCGAGGCGAGGGCGCCCTTGGGCCGGCCGCGGCCCCGCCGCTCCACGCGTTCCCTTCCCGCTTCTCGCGGCCCCCGCTCTGCGCCCGAGTCTCCTCCTCCCCGCGGAGTCCTCGGGGGCGGTGCGCGGGCGGGGGCGGGGCTGCTCGCGGGGAATGCCGGCCCCCGCCCCGCACCCCACCCCGGGCGCCGCCACCAGGGCCCAGTCGGTCAGAGCCGCGCGGCCCCGGAGGGGAGGGCTGCGGCGCAGCTGGCGAGGAAGTGGCGGCGCTGCCCCGGGCGGGGAGGGGGACTGCGCGGTCCCCGACCCCGTCACCACGGGCCTGCACTCCGGGCCCGGGCTCGTCTCTCCCATCGGCTTAACCATCTTTTGGAGGTGGGAGATGTGTGATGGAGACAGAAGAGAGGTTCTCACTAAGTTGGCGACGTCAGGGTTAACTAGGAGTGAATTGGGGGCGCCGTTCCGTAAGGACGGGATCCCCCCTCCCCCCGACCATCCTTAGGTCCTATTCGCTGAGGTCTCAGATTCTGGGAGGTCCCGGGAGGCCTAGAAATGGGAGAAGTTAGATTGGGGGGTCCTGGGCCCCAAAGCCTAAATCTTGCCCTCCCTACCCCAGAGCTAAGTGACCATGCCCAGCCTTCATTTGACTGCATGGACAAAGGTAAGCTCAGGGAAGTGCCCCATCTGGGGCGAGGGACGGTAAAGAAACTAAAACAATTAGAAAGGAAGCCAAAAAGGAGTAGGGGATCTTTTAAAGAAAAAAGTCGATGCTGTTTCCCTGCAGGAAAGTGCCCCCAAAAGAGACCATCTCCAGAAGCAGAGGCTCTGGCTGTAAACGGTGCCAGTGGCCGGCCTGGCAGGGGCCAGCTCTTCCTAGAGGCTCAGGGGCTCCTCCAGGAGCCATCTCACAGTCAGTCTGCAGCCTACACCAAGGCTGTGCCCTTCCACACCTCTTCCTTTCCTCTTCCCACCACCCACTCACTCACTAGTCTTTGCCCTTCTTCCTTCCTCTCCGAAGCAGGCTCCTTTCCATTAGTGAGAGCTGCAATTAATGCAGTCATCTTCATAAAGCAAACACATAACCCCGTGCCCAGGATCCGACCTGCGACCATCTCACCAGCAATGACTGCTCTCCTGAAACACTGAGAAGGGAATTAACTTGGTTCTAATTAGGTGAGTTTGCTACAGACACAAATTTTCATCTCTGTTTCAGAAAGTGTGATCATTTCAACTATTTTTGTTTCTTACCACCCTCCTCCCCATCCCTACTCTACTAACAAGTCAAGATCCTGCCAAGATTTCCTTGTAAATAAAACTGTCTGCATGGGGTGTGATTTTGAAAACAGGCTTCAGGGGACAGAAGAGAGGCTAATTCCTTTGTGGAGAGAAACCCAGAAGGACAAGTGACTCCTGGGGCCCTGGGGTGGGTGTCGTGTTGCTGCCTCCTGTACTCCTTGCTGTCATTTGCACGACCTGCATGGGTGTTGGCTCTGTTTTACTTAGATCTCTGGGACTAGAGAAGTGGGCCAGGAAGCCTGGTTCCCGGGGAACTGGAAGGAGAAGGGCACAGAAACGGGTTGGCCACTCTACTGGGGGGCCCAGCTGCCCCAGACAGTGCTCTGACACCAGCTGCCCATGGGAGCTGCCTCTTCTTCAGCCCAAGGACAGCTCTTATCGACATATCCAACTCTAGCATCCCTTCATGGGGAAGGGAGCTTGGCAGGCTCAGTTCTGTTCCTGAACATGTATTAAGCTGCTACCATGTACCAGTGATACAGCTTTGGGAATACAGAGGTAGATAAGACCCAAACTCTGCCCTCCAGAAATATAATTGGGGTAACAGTTACACTGAACACAAGGATAAGTCCTGGATTCAAGGGAAGCCCAAAGGGTGTAGAACTCCAAAGGAGGGGGTCCCTGTGGGGCCAGCAAGGCTTCTGAAAGGATAACAAAACCAGGCAACATGGAAAAGGTGAAGGAGGTGTTCCAGGTAGAGGAAACAGCACAGCCAAGCATGGGGAGCAGCATCATATGGGAGGCAAATGACAAGCAGTTTGGCATGGCTGGAAACTGGAGCATGATGCCCAGTCTAAAGAAGCCTCCAGCCTGGATGGGAAGGTTGTGAGGGGCTGTGAGTTTCATGGGAAAAAAGCTTGGACTTTACCTAAGGGCAATGGGGAGCCACTGAAGAATTGAGAGCAGCAGAGTCATACTGAAAAGATCCCTCTGGCTGTAGTATAGTGTCTAGACAGGAGGGAGGTTGGTCTGAGCAGAGGAACATGAGAGGTGCTGTCCAAGGAAGGGGTCACGAGGCCAGCAGAGGTTAGAATAAAAGGGAGAGGGAAGATCAGAAGCATATCCAGAAGGCTGTCTTGTTCCTCCTTCTACCCCTAGTACCTGCCTTGGCACACTGTGTTCCCAAAAGTCTCCTAAGAAGGAATTCCTGATCTCTCACCAGGATTCTTGCTTCAGAAGGTGGCTTCCCTTGCCTTGGCCCTTGCTGGGAGGTGATGGGTGTCTGGACTTGGAGAATGTTAGGACAGGTTGTTACATCCAACCTTCTCCATGAGCCTGAGGCCGCCCTTCACCTGTTGTCCTCAATGTCGCCTAAGCCTAGCTGGTCAGAACACTGTGCCCCTCAGCCCCAGGTGAATCTGCAACCCACTCCCCAGCAGGCAGTAGGACACGGCGCCTGAGGCCCAGGCCTAGAAAGCTCTGGGGGATGGGAGTGGCCGGGCATCCTGGCCACGTTTTGTTCTGCTCCCACCTGAGACAGCCTAACGCTGGCATATTCTGCAGCATTTTGGGGGCAGAGGAGGGAATGGGCATGGCGTCACTTTCACGGACCAGCTGCAGTGGGCAAGCACTCATGAATGCCTGGAGGTGGGCTGTGCACAGGCCCTACCCTGGGAGAACCTTTGGCGTCTAATGAGAAGTGACAGTCAACTGGGCCTGTTGGCACCTCTACCCTGCTCTTCATTTTGTAAGGGCCTCTTTTAAGGTTCCTAACAAGA